TTGTTTCTTCGGATAACCACCAAAAATTTCAAAAGACAGTTTTGATGCAAAGGTATAAACCCTCCGAAAATTGGTGTTTTTGATATATAACTCTCCCTCTTGGGTAGAGGTAAGGTCCCACATACCTCATACCTCCAGACTCTACCTCTGTGTGGGATATATTAGGTTCTTTAATTTTCCCTCCAAATTTCCTTCATGTACTTGCATTCGATCGGATGGTTGTATCCTGTAGGCAACACCTAGAACCATAGCACAAGTGGGGGCGAATTTCGTCTTAGGACACTGCATTTATAGTCCTCTATCCAATTGAAGTTCTACATCAAGTTCTTGATTTGGTCGAACAGGTTAGTGTTCTAATTTGCAAGTTTATCTATCGTAGTTTATGTTGAAATTCTCTGTTGATAAATAGTGTTTATATAGTCTTGATAGATTGGTCATAACAGTTATTTTTCTCAAACATTTAATAAACTTTTATCGATTTAGACTAGGGGTGTGTGGTTTTTCTTACCTTGGTTTATATACCTACTTCTGGTTGTATGTTGTTGTTTACTTCTAACTAAAATTTTCTGTTTCTTGTTTCAGCTTTCATGTTCTTCTTTTCCAAACTCTCATCTTTTGCTATTCCCTTTATTTCATGGGGGGTAACTTCCTATCTTTTTCGCACACTACTCACAAGCCAAGGATCTTCATGGAAACAACTGCTTTACTGTTTGAGGGTAGAGGTCAGGTACACCTACGTCTMACCTCCACTGCGCTTTCGGATGGGATATACTGGGCTCGTGTTGGTTTGGTGTTGGCTTATCCATTTAGAATGTGAATTTTTCCACAAGTAGAAACTGTATATWTTCTGCTACATTGTAGATGTGCCATGAGGCTGAAGATTTTGCTGCAGGTACGAGGAAGTTTGAGGATATTCATAATGGACCACCCTCAAGGTTCATTTACAATCTATTAGAACTCGTGGAGAAGCCAAATACGTAGGAATCATCCCTTAAGTCCTCTTTATCGATCCCTTCATTTAGAAACAAAAACAAGGTAAAAGTAGGGAGAGTGGTAAGGATCTCATGTGGATCTGTCTCAAGGATGGCCTACCTACATTGGGGCTATCTTGAATGACTAGCAGAAGAAAAGCAAACTGCTTTCAACAAAGTCAGTCATCTTTGTGTGGTCGGCAAATGGGTAGAGCTGAAGGTCAATTGATTACTCGGTGCACCCTAATTCCGAACCCGAAAARCKAAAGAGGGATTTGCATCCAAATGCAAAAGCTTCTTAAGCACAAAGTAATCCTTCATCAAGGGTGGATAAAAATGCAATCATGGTGCTCAAGCCTAATTGTAAGTGGAGGATTTGTATAGGCTTCATGAAATCCCACAAGACCCGGCCTTTTTTGGGCCTAGGCTCGGGCCTTCCAATCCCATTTTCCAGTAAGCAAAAAAACCTGGACTTTTTCAGACTCAGGTTGGGCCCTGCTTTGGCGTTGAAAGAGGGCCCAATCTGGATTTTTTAGGCCTAATTTTACCGGGCCTTGAGAAGTTGGCCTGATCGGGATTTAAGGCTGGCTTCGGGCTTGGCCTTTTGTTTTTTGCATCTCTACAACACATTATGGTATCCTAGATGATGTAATATCGTGCCCTTACGTATCTAATGTCTATAAAAGTGTAGTCTGCATGGAAGTTGGCTGGTGATCCTCTTTTGTTCATTTCTTCATATGAAGACGTCTGAAAGTCCATTTGGTTAGCCCTGGTGAAATCTAGGTTCTCAGCTCGAAACCGCTCTGTTTCAAGGTTGGTTAGCCATGGTGCAGTTTGGGTGAACAATGGAACACTTTTGGCAGAATGTAAGTACCACTGTAGCAATTATGATAAGTTTAAAAACCATACGATTTCAATAAAAAAAAGTTGTTTTGGAAGCTTATTTTAACAAATTGCCGAAATCCTTGCAGGTTGGTGGCAGGCTTCTGTTATACCAGGTCTAGTAAAGTATGCTGAAAGCTTTTCCATACACACAACTGGAGTTACCGGAGCTGCAAACTGTCGGTTAGTTTCTATATTTTTCTTTCAGGGTCTTCAACGGTAGTGTGGTCACTTGAACACAAAAACAAGCTACAACCAGATGGCGTACAACTAATCAACATATCTGTTACAACATAACCATTCTGGGTTTTGTAGAACATGTCTTTTGTAATAAGTACACAAATTTGGATAATTAAACAAAGTTCACCTGAAAAGAGGACAACAGTAATAGTATAACAATAGCGATTGAACAAAAGTCTAAAATTTTTTGGAACGTCAAACTATGAAGAAGATGGGGTAAAAGGTCATTTTTCATTATATATATATATATATATATATATATATGTAAATATGGTCAGGTTTAGAGGAAAATTGCAAAAAAAAAACCGAGGAACACCCTAATAATCATTCATTTGTACGGTATGCACACGTGCATACAAATAATTTATAAACACCCTAATAACCATTTATTTGTACGGTATGCAAATATGCATACAAGTAATTTGTGACATGCACAGGTGTGGGTGTTATATGACACTTTTGAGAAGTGTAATGTAAATCTATCTTTTTATATGACACTTTTCAGAAGTGGTCTGGAAAACCCATTTTTATATACCAAAACATTAAATTATGGATACACTCTATACCCAAAACAACACCGAAAACATGGATCATACACTATCCAAAATAACACATTTCGTTAACGAGGAGATATGTATCCATCGAATGTGACGAACACAAAAATAAGCCCACATGTCAACATTAACGAGCCCACTACGGATTAGTGGTCATCAAGTTCAACCACCAACAATCTTTACCTTGCATTAGGACTCCCGATGTTCCGAGTTATGCTTGTTCACTATAAATTACACCATATGGTCAATGGTCGTTGTTCGACTCTATAGGCCCGAATCACGATGGCTCAATGACCTAATGCCTATTTCTAGCTACAATACGGGAATAACCATCACATTTTAAACCAACTCTAATGCATGTGGATCCATTGCATTGGTCTAAATTACACTGACTCTAACTGAATCACCAACGCATTCAAAACATGTAATTCCAAATAAATATGTCATAATTGCACAGTACTTCCAAAGCTCAACATGGAGCAATTTTAAGCCGAACAAATGTTTCCAAAACTCATTTGAGTTATTTTTAAAACCAAATAAACTCCACGACCCACTTGACGATTCAAATAAAATCGATATAAACCAATAAGTTACAAATACTCAACACTTAAGCAACTTATACACCAAATGTGTTTGCAAATCATCGTCATCACTAACTCAAAGGTCGAGTCAAATAATGATTTATAAAATAAAAAATACCTAAAAATGCATTTAAATCAAATAATCATCATATGACAATTATATCATCAAAACCCACAAACTTTATGATTTATCGTCAAAATATCCAAAGACCTCGAATATATGTATTTCTTACGATTTCATTAAACCAAATATGCAAAAAAAGCGATTTAATCAAGTAACCATCAACATCTGATAAATTTTAAGCAAAATACTCTGAGACTCCAAAATACACATGTTTGGCATGTACATAGTTTTTACAAACTCGTCTTGCTAGATTTAAGTTAAATCTAGGTTTTACCCCAAATCTTGAGATAATGTCGTTGAAAATTACAAATGTTAAGGATCAAAAGTGAACTTTACTCTTAGGGGCCGTTTACTAAACGTTTACCCGGATAAGCGTTTACCAAGTCACGTTACCTTACCGGATGAATATGGTAAGGACCAAGAATCTTACCCGGTAAGAGGGAGACAAGGACCGAGAGTCTTACCCGGTAAGTGAGGGTGACGACTCTTACCATGGTAAGCGCTTACTCTGTAAATTGTTGCATACGATGCCGTTTTGGTGGACTAAAGTCTTACCCGGTAAGTAAGTGGTAGTGTTAAGTTTTACCGGTAAACGCTTAGCGGGTAAGTGTTTGGTAAATGACCCCTTATTGTTGTTAGAACAATTCTGGTTTATAAAAAAATGTATTTTTCATTTTAGATTTAGAAATCATGATTTTTTTTATCCCCGTGGTTTATAATTCATTTTTGTTTTCAAACCAGTGATTCTAACTTTACTGCTATTTTTTCCTTTGATTTTACAATTCATTGCTACTTAAAAATAGAAGTTAGCTTCATTGACGAAAATAGCAATGCAGGGACAAAAACCACAATTTCGAAACCAAAAAGACGAATCCTATTATTTAGCAAACCATAAGGACGAAAATGTAATTTACTCTTATTATTATCAGGTTCAGTTCAGTTGTAATGTTAAACTGAAAGTATCTGTTTTTTGTTTTGACTATTGAATTATAACTACAGGTTTTAGTTGAAAGATTTCGCTAAGCTTGCACTCCTGGAATAATCATCTCCTTTATTTACCTTCTCGGTAACATTTTCGATCATCAAAATTGAAGTGTGATAATCATTTTTTATCTGGTAAGCACTTACCTGTTAAGAGTTTTTTTACTCACTTACTGGAGAAGACTTTAAGGGGGAGTTTACTGAGGACTTACTTTGGTAAGCACTTAACAGTTCAATTACTTTACCGGGTGGACATATCACGACCGATAATCTTAATCAAACACAAATGGTATCGATTTCTCGAGTTGTGATAATTGCCCCTCTTCGATTACTCGACTGCATCTCAACTGTGATACTCCCATCGTGATAATTATGTGATAACGAAGGGTAAACCATCGTATTTCATTGATTTGCATTAATAAAGATTGTGATAACCATGTGATTCACCATCATGATTCGAGCTCCAATCAATGATAAAAAATTATCGACCCCTAATTGAAGTGTGATAATCATGTGACGATGATTATCCCTTCCCTGACGATCGGAGTAATCTCAATATCTAATTTTACTTTTCCACATCTTTAATGTTTTTGAAAACTTTTACATATTAATTTAAAACCCCCCCTTAACTTCTCTTAAATTGTGATTTAAAATAGAATATTTGGCTTAGAAACTGTTCTCACGTTCTCATAAATCATAAGGGGTTTTCGTTTGAACTCTTTCATATATATATATATATATATATATGGAGAGAGAGAGAGAGAGAGAGATAGAGACGAGTTCATATAATAATGATACTTATTTTAAAAAAAAATGGTTGCATTGCATGTGATTTACACTAACATCATGTACAAATCACATGTGATTCATGTGACTTTGCAATGCGACTATGCCACAAGGTCATAGGGTTGCATGTACATTTTTTAGTTCTTAATGTAAAATCACATATGATTTTGTACGTAATTTGACTATTTACTTATTTTCTTAAATATGTATAATTATCGTATTAACTTATATATAGAGCTTGGTTCAAATGTTAACCAAGATTATTGTGTTAACTTTGTTAACCAAGCTCAACCAATGAAAATCAATCTATTCTTTAGGTTCACATACATCTCATATTTTAATTACAAGGGTAATTGAGTAATTTTACCATTTTGTGTAACTCCCATATCATTAATTGGGAGTTACAAAATCTAAAAATCCCATAATTGATGATAATTTAATATTGATCTTGTTTTTCAATTTGTGATTGTTTTTGAAATTTGATTTATCTATCTATAATGTTATTGAATTTGTGATTGTTAAAAGATTTTCGACAGCAAAGTTTTCAATATTGTCCAAGCTAATATGGATAAACCCATTGAAAAACTGATCGACAACAATGAGAATGAGAAGGTTAAAATGGTTTACGATGACAATCGAATTTTCGAGTTCCGAAAGTGAAGACAATGATCAAAGTATTTGTATTGATAATGGATTAATATGATATTGCATTCGTTTTAATCGACAGTTCTCAACTTTGACAGTTCTCACTTATCTTGCAAAAAAGATGACTGCATCTGACCTGTTGAACAGCTTCTGTATATTCAGGAGCTGGCTCTGTTGAGAGATTCAATCAGTTTACCGGTGAAGACGTATGAAGTTA